TCAAAAATGGCCATATTAGGTTGATTTTGGGCTGTAAAACAAAGCCTTTTGTTAGCCAAATGGACCCACTTTTCTTGATACGTGTCCAGTTTTCACAAGGACTTGATAATTAAATGTCTATGAAAAAGACGTGTGGGACATGTAGCTGTCTAAGGCCTGCAGCTGATGCAATAAAAGGAAATTTCAATTATCTTTCTTGTTTTTTTGTCTTGTAGAAAGGAAGTTAAGGGAATTTAATTTATACTTCTACAACTGTACTGATGACTCTACCAGAAGAAGATACAAGAAGTTTACCAGCAGTTGCCATACACAGTGTAATTTTGACTCTATCTGCCATTTTTTCACTCATGGGAAACTCGCTCGTCTGTCTCGCTTTATACCAAAACAGGAGACTGCGAACTGTTACAAATATCTACGTGTTGTCCTTGGCAATAGCTGATATAATGGCATCCACTTTTGTACTTCCTTTTTCCGCAGTCGCATCTGGTTATCGAGCATGGCCGTTCAATTTCGCCTTTTGCCAATTTAGCGGTGTCGCTACTTATTTTTGGGGTGCAACGTCAATAAATATTTTGGCGTTGACTGCTGTTAATCGTTACATTTGTATCGCAAAACCTCATCTTTATCCTACACTGTTCACAAGGAAGAAAACGCTTTTTTCGATCCCTTTGGTTTTGTTGCTGACACTCAAAGCAAACCTTACTTCCACACTTGCCACGCCGATTTTATTCCAGTGGTATCCGCTTGATTTAGTTTGTGAAGCAACAGGGTTGGAAATCCGAGCTGGCATTTCCAAAGGTATAGTTGGATTTGTCAGCCTTGCAATGTCTTTAATCATATTTTGTTTCGGAAGCGTGTATCGTACCATAAAGCGGCACAATTCTGTAGTCAATCCTTCTCTACAGGACATCACCAGTCAAGTAGTAGTAAGCCCACACGAGATTCAGGCATCTCGGGTTCTTCTGACCACAGTTGTGGGATTTGACGTTTGCTGGATTCCTCTAACAGTTGTGCGGATTCTTAATGCATATGCACATTGGCCCATACCTTCATATTGGGTGCCCTATGCCACACTGTTCGCTTTCTTCAGTTCTTGGATCAACCCAGTGATATATGGCGTCACGAACAGAACGATGAGGAAAGAATCCCTTAAGCTATTACAATGTCGAAACCAAACTTAAAGGGATAATTGTAAACTCCTTATGGTGATATTGGTTGGAATA